ATTTTAGTTAATTCGAGAAATCACCGATTAAATTTTACATGCGAATTAATTGTTTACAGACGCGCCTAATTGTCGTCACGTCCATATAAGCATGCTACCACATTGAAAATTCACAGTGCAACACGGCAAACATTAATTAAACATCAACCTATAACTTTACGGGCGGATCGCGCGAGCATGCGTGAGGTATTTGTGTATATACGAAAATGTGAATGTGGTATAAAACCTCAACATGTTCCTCGTATACAATTCGAATAGTGGAATGATGAATGCATTCAATTACGACAAAATCGGCATTAAGTCGTAAAGCAATCCCGTTGTTTACTTGATTTTTTTTGTTGCAACAAAAAAGGTTTCCTAAAATATGCAAATAAATGCACCACGCGGATATTATACGCTCGTTTTATTACAATTATTTTATATAAAAAAAAGACGTCGCGGAATGCCGTTGTTGCTAAGAACACTTAAACGAATATAACGAAGAAGTTAAATTCAATAACATGCAAACAGCGTACAGTAAAATATCCATACTAAGCGAGACTTCTTATCGCAAGTTTCTAAATTCGTATTTTTATCAGGTCGTAATTTATCGTCATTGTTAGACTACGTTAGCCCGTGTCGAATCTGGATGCTTTAACGACAATTCATTAGCGCTGCATGGCGGTGACATAAAGCTAAGTCGGAGAGAAATTCGCGAACGTTAAAGAATAGTGCCGCCAGGCTGTCCCACACTGACGAATTATATCTTTCTTCATATTTGAAATTTAATTGCGAACGAATGTCAAACTAGTAAAACGGCAGGGTCGGTCTTCATCTAGCACATTCCCTTATAAAACGATGTGCAAGTTTGTGGGGGACTTGCATTAACTCCAGCGATTTGACGTAGTGGGTTTCTTACGGTTCGCCAGAGAACAAACAAAGACGGATAGAAGACGGATATGACGCGGACGAGTTTCAGCTTAATCGTCAAATAAAGAAATGTATTCTCCCGTCGGATTTCATTATTAACGCGTCCGCAGGTTTTACGCACTCGCGGGGACAAGACGTTGGCAGACAAATTCATTAATTAGCTTTTTTTACGAGTGCGGGCGAATATTTGTTTAAACATTCACCGCGTCGAATTTTAATTAATTTTAATTAAATTTACGTTTCGTATTTATCGGCATTGTGTTCATTTTTTTCCACTCATAGGCGCGCACGTTGCGTAACTTAATTGCAAGGTATAAAGCTTTTAAAAAGTTTGTAGAGATTTTAACAGCACTAATAAATTCAGTTTTATTGGCCATATTTAAAGGTGGCAAAAGAGCTCAACTCTTTACGAAAGATCTCGGCGCTGCATATGCGTGCGTCCTCGATTTTAATCAAAATTCCTAATTTCGGTCGATTGTTCTACCAAGCTTCTATCATACGCTCAATGCTAGCCATAAAATTTATGTTATTAATTTAATTTATTCCTTTGATGGGTTTTCAATATACTGAAATGTTTGAGCTTACTTGCCAGAGTTATGTTTGTTTATGATAATCCAGGTGCAACTAACAATATAACATTTTTAAGTGCATCCCTTCAGCGCATTATTTAGCGCGTTCAATTTTATTTTAGTCCTGATGCTGTTAATGCGCTTTATAATTTAGTAGCGCCGTATTATTTTTAATTGCCTCGTGGCCGCCGATAAAAAAAACTTGCACCTCGAACTTCCGAGTGCATGTGCATTCATTAATGCAGCTCCGCTCGCTATATTTGCCCTAATTTTATTTGCCAACCATGTGGGTATTCATAGACCTTATAATGTCAAACTCTATCATAATATAAGTTTTAGTATTTTAGAGTTTTATATCACCTCGTAAAATGAGGACTTTTAGTCTTTGAGAAGGTTTATTTTCTCGCTTTAGCAGTGAAAAACGCGAAATAGTCATCTGCATGTTGGTGATTAGATTAGAATTAGGTATGCCTCGAGTTACAATTACCTGCCTCATACAATGCATATAAATATCAAATAACACTCGTATTCGTAAATGCTAACACGTAATGGCACGCTCTTTTCGAATGTACGGTGCTCGCCATTATTATAAATACGGGAATAACGCGTGTACGACACATCCGAGAAAATCGCATTTTCGAATTAATTAAACTGGTTTTCTCCTGGCGATTTGCAGCGCAACAGCGTCACACCAAGAATATCCTTTGGAATTGTCGCTTGAGTTTCATACACCGCCAATGAAAACCTGCAGTTGTCTTAAAATATGATAGATTCAAAAGACGACAGTACCAAATAAGCATGCATCGCGCATTCCAAATCACAAACACATATTGCGATTGAAACAGTTGAGGTAGTAGCAGTTTGCCCAGAGCTTGCTAATGGTCTAATCGCAGCTAAAGTCGTTTTAAAGTGCACCATTCGAGGCGATAATTGACGTTCGCCAACTTCCATTTCTTATATCTAAAAGTAATAACGATTTGTTTTCTAGGCGGCGGCGGGCCGGCGCTGGTCGTTTATGTGCGAAATGCGAATTGTTTATGAATGAGTTGGAATCCGACGAGGTGAAATCAATGCGCGCCATCCCGGTCGAGCGTCCCCGCAGGTTGCCACTTCCATGTTTACAAGAAATCGCGAAACGCAGCGAACGACGTCCCGCGGATTTTATATTTGTCGAACTATGTACTCGCCGAAGCAGCGGCTGTCCGCAGTTTTTCATCCCGGGCATGTTGCACGCTTGCCTACGCCTCGAGCTGGGAGATCGCAAAGATTTCATATCGTTGTGAAAAATCGACGCCCAGTCAACTTTACGCAAACGACTCTGATCAACTTAGTTACTAGCATACGGACGGGCTTCAATCAAAATCTTACCGTGTCATCTCGTAAACAACTTGAGCACCTGTAACACAAGTAAAAATTAAATCTAAGGCGGGCATATTGGAATCAAGCCAAAATACAATAAATAAACACTTTCAAATCTGCTCCTATTAAAAAATGACACGTAAAATGCACTCAGAGGTACGCTTCGAGTTTAAAAGTCATTTCCTGTTATTCTCGCGGCCTGTGTCATTAATTTATGCACAAAGTTTTATTGAAATTCCGTTTTTAAATGCTATCTAGCAGCGAAAAAATAAATCACCACGACACGCAGCATGATTTCCGATTTTTTCCTACACGCATTTATTATTCATATGCGCTTAATGCGCCAGAGAGAAGACGCTCCGAACAACCGAACTACCTTAAAACCGACCACTGCACTAATGTAGTGACATGGGCACTTAAATAGCTGTAAACTGCTAGTAATTTAAACGTAAATATTTACTTTTCAGATATTTTAAGATTCTATCATTAAACTTAAATATAATATGTATCCTCGCACTGAGTGAGAAAAAAGCAGAAGAAGCACGTTTCACGCAACGAGGAAATCGTATTTCATTCATAAACTACGGGCGCAAACATTTTTCTAATGAATTAATTACGCACAGCACGTAGATTTCTCATATTCCCAAAAATATTCCAAGATTCTGTACGACATCATTGCGCGATCACAACGCTATCCAATATACGACTCACCTGATACAATGACACACAATCACCTGTAATTTACGATCAAATTCCTCATCTCGTTAATGAAGATTTACGTTGGTCGTAATTTTGCCGGTACGCGTAGTATGTGCACGAAACAAACACACGCAAACACCGAACCCGACGCAGGACACAACGCACGCTGGCATTTCGTGGATCATCCTGTGAGAGCGTTTGATAACAACGCAGAGTTCGGAGACTTGGAAGAGTTGGAGGAACTTTGTGACGTTTATTACAACGACGAGAGTTCGCCGTTGTTTCGCCGGACTCCTCACGGATGCCTCTTCGGCAGGTCGTGCGTGTGCACTTAAAGACCTATAAGCGTGATATACACACCGAGATCTTCATCTCTACGGCATCGGGAGAAACAGACGTAGAAAGTCGTTGTCGCTCTTGTAGATGTGTATTTTGGAGTAGTCACCATCGTGGCAATGGCAGTAATAGAGCTATCCAAACGCCAGCAAAGGAGTAGGCATCCGAGCGACTGTGAAATGCGTCGAATTCTCTTGATGGTTACGTGGGAAGATGCGGATGTGTCCGCTCCAGGTCTTCCCGGAATTCTGAGCCATCTAATTTATAGGTTATGATCATTAATTTAATTAACCTAGGTTTAAATTATGTTCCATCGTCAGTGCGGTTATCTCGTATCATTAAGTTTGGATGCAATATGATTCGATGAGTAAATCACAAAAACTCCTTCTTTTAATGATACTTTTATTACAAAAAAATACACCACAATAGCGCGCAGCGCCAAGGGATCATACAAGGGATTATACAATATCTTTTGCTTTCCTTTTTTTGTTTATTATTTTTCTTGGTTTTATATTCTTCAACACAACTTCACCAACAACAATGATGGCCGTTAACAATTGCTTCAAGAGTAAAAAATGTACGATAGTCATGTATAAATGTTTATAATTTACATCACAAGGCAATGATTAGGGACTGGTCATATACATTATCAAAGTGGATGGAAACATTTACATTCAGTATGTTGCACGAGTGCGAGCTTAATAAGTAACAGTTACGTTTGATGCTTTCTGATTCGAATTACACTACGGTGTGAAGTAATGATTGTTGAAAGATATAGTTTAGTAAAGGTACAAATATTTCATCCTCGTTTTTGGTTGTCGTATGCATATAACAATTCAGTTGTAAATACATCCAAGTATCATTATCACAAGTAGTTTTCATATTTTGACATCCTTACATAAAGCACACATTATGTAGGTCATTTGGTACGTATTCTTACAAGCAGTTTTAGAAGCTTTATGAAATTCTTGGCCATTTCTTGAGCAAGATATTACGAATTTACGCACGCACACCAACCGGATATTGAGCAGCAACAAATCGTTGTAGCGTTTGTGGTTATTCACACTTTCTATAAATAAATTTCATCTGTAAAGAATAATAAAGTAATAAAATAATAAAAATAAAAAGTTAAAACAAAAGTTTTTTATTCGTTCATCGTTCATCTTTCGTCAAAAGACATTTAAATAACAAAACACTGAGCAAAAATAATAATAAAAATAAAACATTGGAACCTCCAGCGTGTCGTTTAACAAAATTTCGATAATTTTTCCTCCGTTTCGATCATTTGCTTACAAAATATTAATTTAATAATATTATGAGTTAAGTTAAATAAACATGAAAATGAATAATGAATAATATTAATAGTAATAAACAAAGAATACTAAAAAATTAAGTAGCTAATAATGATCGCGTTCGGATCGATTATGTACAAGTTACATCAATACTAAATTGATTAAATCTAAATCACTTTTTAGAAAAGGAAAACATCTCTTTCATTATGAAACTATTAAATACAAAATAAAAAAAACCAACGAAATAAATATTTATACATTCAAAATATAAAAAATAAAACTGAATACATACAAATAAGTAATAATGATAGTTAAATTAATTATAAATAAGTTAATTGAAACTGAATTAGTTTATAACAATGCGCATGCATTTAATTTTAAGTAATAAATTATTAAAAACTAGCATGTTTTGAACACGTTCCTCGATTTGCGTTTGAGACAGATGTGTAACTGAGATTCAGAGTATAACAGACTGTAAATCAGTAAGTGTAGATCAAAGAAAACTAAACATTACTGCTGAGTAATTACGAACTTAACATACAATATACTTATTTGTCTTGTCTTTGTTGCATTGTAGTTGTGAAAAGACGTACGTCCTACCACCGAATTCAGTGAGCTTCGTTCGTGCTTGTTCTGTTGCATGATCTAACCAATTTTAGTGGCACATTTTGAATGAGTTGAATTATGTTGATCTAATGCCCGACTAACAAATTTAACGATCAAACATAAATTGAATCGGCTAGTTTAAAACTATCTTGCCATGTTGTCATGGTTCCCGTAAAGAGTCTTTTCGTATCAAAAATAGCAATAGAGCTTACTCAGACCTCGTGTTTCTGCAGTAGTAAAATATCCCTCTTCATGCTTATCGTTTTATACTTCTAGTGTTATACATAGCGCGATTCCTCTCGCCGTTAAGTAGTAGTCGACTTCTTATAAATTGTACGAAATAAACACCAACGTTTTCCCTTTACATTTACAAATATCACAGCATCACGTGTCATTTTTAAAATTTGTGTTTCATTTTAAATTTAATTAATGTCTAGAGTTCAGAAATTCAAGTTTTTCATCAAACCCCCTTTTTGTCCTGCCCTAATTTTAACGAATTTTTGGCACAGTAAGATACACAGATATATAAATACTTTTTCTTTACTTTAATCGTTCTGCTTCACCATGGGGTTCTCGAGTGATATTATATGTTCGTGAGATGGAATGATATGAGATCCTAAAAGGACATGATAAAGCCACATGCAACTGTAACCTGACACTTTCCGCAATGCGATTATTAATAATTCCATGTTATCAACATTTTAACGAGATAATACAACGCACTCCACTTCGCGGAGCTGATTTAACTTTTAATTCACAACCAATTCTTTCTTTCATTTTTGTTTCGTATTGAAATTTCGCGTGTCTCTTCTTGGGCAAAGCAGTTGCGATGCGCGCGTATCACGAGCAAAGAGTACATCGTCATCATCGCCGCCTCATTCGGTCTTAATCGGTTCGGCTTTGACGAGCACGTTATCCGGCTCGTATCTCGCATGCGTTCGCATGTGCCGCGTGATCATGTCGCGGCGGCAGGCGGCGTAGGGGCATTGTGGACACTTGTAGGGCTTCTCGCCGGTGTGGGTGCGTTGATGAGTGGAGAGGTGATCGGAGCGCGAGAAGACCTGCCCGCACACGCGGCACGTGTACGGTTTGACGCCCGTGTGCAGTCGCATGTGGCGGGTGAGCATGTCGCTGCGCGCAAAGGACCGCTGACATACCTCGCAAAGGTACGCCTTTGCGGTGCTATCGCCTGAATTCTGGCGGCTCTTATGTCGTGACGCCATGTGCTTTGCAAGTCGATCATGTAAGCTGAACATTTGGCCACAAATGGGACAAACAAACGCGACGTCAGAACCGGGCGGCATCTCCTCAACCACGGGATGTACCTCCAGGTTATATCTAGAAGCGACTGATTCCTTGGTGGTAGGCGACGCCACATCGCCCTTGACTACAGGTACTTGGACAGCTCCGGCAGTGGAGCGCGGCGGCAGAAAGCCGGACGGTGTCATAGTCTGCATGGGCGTCTGCATCAGACCGCGCAGACGCGTCTTCAATGATAAGTCTAATGGAAATTCTTGTGGACTAGGTGCTTCGGGTTCCAACTTGCCGGTGGATATCGTGAGTGGATGGGGCCAGCCCATTGGCGCGCTTGCTCGTTCCGCTTTAGCGGTGAACCAGAGCGGCAGGTCCGAGTCAGAATGGCTCCGTCGGCGGAAAATGTCTGGCAGGTACTTGGTGTGAAAGTAACGTTCGAAGTTGTACGGCGGAGGCGCGGGCGAAGAGGCAGTCAAGGGTGAAATGGGGCTGGCAGGGAAGAAACGATCGCAAGGATGCACTGACGGTGGGTGATGGTGACCCACGCCGATCATGCAATTATAACATGAGCACGGCGCTTTGTGTAATGGCGGACTTATGCTGGACTCTTCTTCTTTGAGCCTCAGCGGGCTGATACTCAGGCTGATCTTAGGAGATTCTGTGGAACTGTGCGGAGATTTGTTGCTGCTGCTCGCTGGACTGAAGACATCCTCATCCTCACTACCCGCTTGTGGAAAACGATCTTTATCCATCGCAGTGTCGTATCGGAACACGTCCGTCATGTGCGGTTTGTGATTCAGCATTGCGCGCTCGTCTTCTTGCTTGATGTTGTTGTTAATGTGCTGGACATTGTTGTTGAGTGTCGGCGCCGCATTGCAGTTTCCAACGCCGGCGCCGCCCGTGAGCTTATCCAGCACCTGACTGAGCCGCTTCCTTTTCGCTTCTCCTTGCCCACGGGTCGATTGTGATTCGCCGCGAAGACATGATTGTTGTTATGCGTTTTATCATGCGAGGGTTCCAGAGCAGTCTCGGCCATAGTCATTAGCGCGTGGCGGCTGAGGGCCGCGGACCCTTGTGAAATTTCTTCCTGCTTGCGGCCCGTGCCGCTATGAGCATGCTGCGATGGATACACTAGGGAAAGCAGTTTGACGGCTTAATACTCTCGCTGTGCACTTCCTTCCTTGCAGGCTGGCGGTGCGGCGACGACGTAGAGGTGAAGCAAAACTCAATCAACGACCCAAGACTGCAACAACAAACGAAAAGCGCACATTAGAATCGAGCATTAAGCACGGGCCGGCATTTGCGCGCAGACAGACTAATCCGCGTCTATTAGTAGCTCTACGTGCGTTTGCTGATGAGTGCGGCGGCGCGTTGGTCAAGTGCAACCCGATGGAATACCAGTCAGTGGGATACGCTCGGTAATGAGGATTCAGTGGGCGATCATTAACTCGCTACCTTCTTCATACGCACGCACACCAACACAAGCAGAAAGCACTGCCGCCTGAGCGTGTGTCTGATATCCACGCACGAACGAACGAATGACCAGCCACCCTATGACCCGCAGGCCCGCAAAACGCAAATACGTCCGCACCGACACGAAGTGTACTCCTCACAAACGGCGGCAACCGCGAGAGCTATAACTACAGCGTTTTCATACGCTCGAAAGAAAACACCAGCGAGAGCCAACAACAACATTCAACACAGGAAAGAAGCAAAAAAAAAATAGGCATCGGTCGCCGACGATTCCACTCTCCACGCGAACGTGCGTGCCGTGTTCGTCATACACCTGATACACCTGACCTCGTTATGAAATATGAATGGACGCAGAGACGACGACTGGCGCGAGTACGTTGTAAGTGTAGAAATGTGTCTGTGTGTGTGTGTCTTCTGTGCGCATCAAGATGAGTGTTGGTTGTTCTTGCATGCGGTCTTGGCTGCCAACCGCAGAGCTTCGCAATCATCACCGGTTCGACACCAACAAAGCCTCGTCCATCGCCGACACAAAGCTGCATCTTTAACCGCATTGCACCTACGGGGGTGGTGAAGAAATCCACATTCAACGGAAAACCATTCAATACCAACACAAATAATAACCCGCATATTACCAATTGTGTTTTTTTTTTATTATTATTTTCAAGAAATTAAAACTTCAGTCATAATGAAAGCACGCTTTGGAATGCACTTGCAGCAAAATGCGCGTTGATTTATTCGCGCCGAGCGCGTGTTAATTCTAAATTACGCGTGATGATGATTAGATATTCTCGCAGAGGAGCGAATCGAAGCAGGCAGCCAACCTACATAAAGGCGATAAAAAACCAACGAAATGTGGTCTATTATACGTTTTGTGTAACAATGTGCCGCGTATATTCATAAAGGAGTAGCATAGCGGCAATCGTAGCCATCAGCGTCTGGCTTTAACAACTACTCTTCGGCGGCGCGAGTGCCCCGGCTCGCGTCTTTTCATGTGCGTTCGACGTTTATTACAGCGATGTGCTTAAGGATTATGTGGCGCACATAAAATTTACGTTTTTCTCGGAGCACGCCAGCTCCTTTTTTGGACGGCGCGCTCGCGTTACGAAATTGCGGCGGCGCGCGCCTCCGAACCGAATTATACACTTCTTTTTACGCATAATGGCTTGGTTACATTTCTATTCGGACAGCGCGCGCACAAATAAAAAAAAGTGACATATTTGTGCGTATGATTATAAATCAGATTTTGTTTGACGATAAAAATACCAGTTCAATCATCATTAAAACCCATCGGCGATGACCGAACCCGTCGAAGTTGATTGTTCCGCATGAATTTGCGAACACAACCCGATATCAATAGATGAAATTATCGACGGTCAATACCTGCGAGTTGGCATTCCGAAAGTCTACATATTTGGATTCGGATCTTCTGGGTAGATAAACTCTTCGAAAGCCATTCGTACAGTCCGAGATCAAACATTCGCGGCTGTTATCGAGGCGATAATTATAGAGGAATTACAGGCGTTTTATAATAAACACAAATCGAAGCTGACGACTTGGATACGCACCGCAAGAGGAGCGTGTATCTGTCCCATCTAAGAAGCGGCATTAAAATTTATACGTAAACGTGCATAATGCGAATGCTCGCGCGGCTGCCGAGCTTGGCTGGCAAGGTGCAAAACTAGCGAGCTCTTCGGCGAATCGCCGCGGATGGTGCGCGCCGTCGTCGTCGTCGCGCGTCTTCGCCGGCTCGATATGGTGAGTGATGCCATGCCGATGGTCGCATGGCAAAAGCGATTAATGCGAAAACGGTTAGAAGAAGAATATGGCACATATGAGGAGTATTTCTTGCATTCGGATAAAAACCGCGCGCGTTGCCACTCGCCACAAAGGCGCTATAAATATACGCGCTTCATTTGAACAAATGGGTTCGTGCAGTGAATTCTATAAAGCGCTCGATAATGCTTTATAATGAAAAATGCACTGCATATCTTCCTTTGTCCACGCCACGCCACGCTCCACAAAGAGACACCCACAAAGCTCACTTGGCGAAACGGCCCAGCTGCGAAAATCGATTTATTGCCTTTAAACTCGTCTAATTATCGAACCTACAAAATCACATCGAAGCATTGATAATTTGATAAAAGATCAAGATCACGAATTCCAAGTATTTCGCAAATCAAAAAAATGCAGACCTCCTAGTTGTCCAAGATACCAAGAATTAGAATAATAAGAATTTACGCGTTCGAGTGCGCATTGCCAAGCCGTGAACAAAACAAATTCCCCGGATTAATTGGACGCGAAAGCATCAAGATGTGGAAGCATTTTTGCGCTAGTAGCGCTACAAATTTGACCAATTACCAAGACATGCCTCATCTGCTGATGCGCGCGCGACCATTTAGTTTCATTGTTATCGTCCGTCTCATAACACTTTCAGACTTCTCAACTGGATCAACACATACGCACACAAGGAGTACATTTCATGTCTTGACGCAGGAATGCGTCGAGCAAATGAGGATCGCCCCGGCGCATTAAAGCTCGTGCCCACAATTTAATGCCTTTTTAAAAGCACACTTTTAACTTTAATTTCATCGAAATTAACCGCGTACGCGTGTGCGCGCTATTAAAACAGGTGCCCGCATTGTGCGCGCTTCAATTTTTCGTTATTGCACACGCAGAATTAAAAAAAAACGCGATCCATCGACATCGACAACGTCGACAACCAGTTAACCACAATGGTGAGCCAACGGCGAAAGCCACCATTGACGATGCCAACGATACACAATTATCTTCAATTCATTCTTATTAATTGATTCCCATCGAATTGAATTGCGACTAAATGAATATCATACCAAATTGTATACAAATGCGCAATTTACGCTTTCGGTTTTCACAAGATACCTACAGCCTGGGTGGCCACGAAATAAATTTTGAATGAAACTTTATTAAGAAAAAAAAAAAGAAGCGTCGAAGTCAATAAAATTTATTACGTAGAGTAGCAACAAATCGATAAATACTTTAATTAATAACACTGTTCTTCGGCTCGGGTGTCTCTGCAATCAGCTGAATGCATGAAGTAGTTTCCAGCTACTTGGCCGATATGCCCGAGCGTCAAAAGCTTCATGTAGGCGTACCGGGCAAAGTAATGAGTGCATACGCTCCACATGCAGATAAGATGCGGATAATATTTATTGAAAACACATGCAGCAAGGTGTGTCTAGCACCTAGCGCTTGCGGTGCGCATAAATATCACATGAAAAACTACTTCTACCGACGTAAAAATCTGTTTGTTTCTTTTTTTCACCAACATTTTCCTCGTTTTCACATCCACGTAAATAAATTAGCGTCCCATAGAAGTCGAGCATGTCCAAATATTTTTAGTTCGGATTTATGGCGCAAATTAATTGTGTGTTGTCTTGTCGCAAGTCAAATACGTGAAATCCGCGCATTTCGCGGTTGTGGAGGCGTGCGCGTGTCGTGTCTTGCCAACGATGAAATATATTGTTGCGGTGGAAAACAATACGTTTTCCGGCTCGAAAATAGCGATTGCACAATTTAGAACCGAAATTATCCCGAGTACCCACACACACCTGCCGTCATTACTCGTCCGTTCGCTTACAACCCACCAGATAAAAACATAATTCATCCGAAAATTTGCTAAATCGTTGAGTTCGTATTACGCACGAATTGGTTTTCTTGCAAAGGTTGAAAAAAAAAATGATGTGTGCTTTGTCAATCAGCGAACACGCCCGTCGGACGACGCTCGCGCAATTTGTGCAACAGGTGAAACAGCCAACTTTCGCTATAATTCAGTAATCGCCCCCTCAGGGGGTCGTAGCATGTAGCATCACACGTGCGTGCACCCCGCATCATAACACAAAGAACACAACAATATCAATAACATTTTAATACCCACTTTAATGTCGATAATAATTTTTAACTGTTGACAACAGCCTGTGTATGGTGTGTGTGTAGGTGCGTGAGTGTGTTTTGTGGAGATAAATAGCTCAAGTGGTCGAAGGTGGTTTAATAGGAAGGAAATCGAAAACCGCAAGTGTAACACGTTGTTAGCGCGGCGTGTTCGACGCACACGAATGTTGTGTGTGCGAGTCTACGTCAAAATATGCGAACCGCGAGCAAACGCGAGCCTCGAAAAAATTAAATTGCCGAATGATGTTTCCACTGGTAATACGTCGGCATTCCATAAATCCGAACGCGTATAAATAAACGTAACGCGTTTATCTCGCGCGCGCGTATGCCAGGCGGACGTTACATTATTTTGCGTAAAGCGAAATAACAAATAAATAACGGCATTAATATAAATACGCCGTCGATTTATTATCGCGCAATTTCTGCTTGTAAATCCAAAACTATACAAATAAATGTTGCTACAATTTTTATTGTTATAAATACATTTCTAATGAGATGAATTTCTTCAAGAATTCTTTTCTTATCTCCCGCTCCCAATTTTACAATAAAAAAATTTCGTTGTCGAAATAAAGGTTTTTTTTGAAAAATTGCAAAGTTAATCGACCGCGTGATTCCTTTTCAACGCCACGTTAAAGTTGATTGATTGCTTTTGTCTTTGACAAGTTTCCAGTTTACCGGTGCGCCAGTAGGTACGTGCCACCTTAATAAGTCGCGCAATGGTTTGTGAAATTATAAATTTTATAATGGTTATAATAGCACTTAACATCCTTGACCGATTAATAATCTTGTGTCTATCAGTTTTACGCTGCGTGGGTAATTAACTAGAATTATTTTTATTATTATTATTTATTTGTTTATATTTTAATTGTTTAACGATAGATCATTAATTTATGTAAAAAATTACAGCAAAATATTTTTGGTTTAATGGCAAATTTTATATGCGTGCGGTTGACTTTGATCTCCTGCGCCGTCATTAATAATCAGGATAACGACGATAATAATACGAGGCTAATAATTTAATAACATTTGTCAAAAAGGATTAAGAAGGAGGATGCGCGCCGTGTGTTACGATTACGGGCAGCGGAGAGCAGTCGTTTTAAAAGCCGTAAATAAGACGCGCGCACGAGCTTTTGATGGTCGGACGCATTCTTGCATATTTACTGAAAGCGCGCTCGCGCAGATTGTAAGTTCACTTTCGCAATTACCATCGATCGATGATTAATTTTTCTATTTAGCGGTGTGTCGTCGATGCTGCGATCGGTTAACGAGCCGCCCTAATGACGCGCAGAGTCAAGCTTTACTCCTTCAATCAATTACACCGCCGTGCGTTCGCAAGATGCTCGTGAGCCGTTTAACGATAAAAACGCACACACCACGACTCGGCGAATCATAATTATATTTTAATCCTGGCCCCATATTGCGACAGTTCACATAACGCCCAGTGGCGCAGACAGCTGACGATTGGGAGTAATATTAAAAAGAAATGCGGCAACAAAAAAATTAATATAATTACAGATGATAAAGAACCGCAAAAAGGGCGCTGGCGCATAATTGAAACCAGCCATTAATTCGAATTACAGTCGGGTTTCGATTTCTACCAATTAATGCCCACCTCGCGCCGATCGTTATTCATATTCGCAATCTCGTCGTCTTTGCTTCATCCGCTGCGCTTATTATTTTCATTTGCGCGCGCCGACGAGCCTAGTTTTTGCGCGCAATTTAAACACGCTCGCTTATTTACGATACCTTTGACGAGCTTTTTGATGCGCTTTTTATTTATTGCGTCGCTTTCCCCTCAAAAATACGTCGCATGCCTTAAAGCGATGCGTATAAAAAACAAACAAACAAAACAGCGACGCGATATAAATTTGTATTGTGTGGGAGAGTGGCTGAAAACCACTATCGTCGGCGCATAACTTTAAGCTCCGGCGGCTCGTATTCCTATTGACAGGACGATAAATTTGTCCTTTAAGCTCGCCGATACACAAATTTCGGATCTGGTAGCTAGAGAGCTATGCGAACAGGTCATCTTGACCTTTTCCAGGCTCGTATTTAACAAAATCACATACAAAAACGTTCAACTCAAAACAGCTACACATTATAAAGTGAGTTATTAACTTGTGAAAATCGAGTATTTCCTCTGCAATTAATTATGTTTGTAAATTCAATACTGCGTGGGTCTTTTTTATTGGCGTTTTTGAGTTTCGTTTCTTCCGAAATCGAAATCGAACGCTCAACTTCAGAAGATCGAAGAGTTAAGAGACAGCCAGCGGACGCCTACAAAAACGACCTGCTGCATTTCAAACGAAGCTCGCTGGCACGATGGAGATCCGAGCGAACGCATTATGAAAAAGAAACGCAACGATGCAATGCGATGCGCAACCGGCGCGGAGCATTCGCCACAGAGGAGCCTCTCGGCACTCGGACGGTTGGCTGTAGAAAGGAGAAAAGAACGGAACGCACGCGAGTAGCGAGCGCATAGTTGATGGAATAAGAGGAGACGAAAAAAAACAGGTAGAATGCATCGCGCGAGTTGTTGACTTGAAGATGCGAGAAGACGCCTAAAGAGGCAAGAGCGCGCGCGCGCGCCAGCAAGAGACGAGCGCTCGTCAAAGTGGAGAAGCCGGGGCGGCGGTGATCAGCGATTGAATCGCGATTGAATTTAGAAATCTTCAACACGCCGAAAATTACGCCGACAGCGTGTGGGAATTAAGGTCGGGGAGGTGCGTGGTGCACCCGGGAGTTGTCGACGTGGCTAATTTATGAAGGTGCTCCCTTGACAAATTCCTACCGTTATACCCACAGCGGCCCGTAATAATTATCCACCCGCTTTTTTCTACTCCTCTTCAACATACAAAGTCAAGTGGATAGCGGAAAAAGCATCACTATCTTCGTTATGTTCGGTGACAGATAAAATCCTAGGATGCAACTTGAAACCGTCTGTTCACCTGTTGCTTCTCGATGCTTGTATCCGCACATTACGGTTGAATATTTTTAGCTAACCCAAGAAATACGAAACATACAAAAAGAGAAAAAACGTTTAACTAATAGCCAATAAATATAATTAATTCGAGAAAAGCAAAACGTAACTAATACCATGACACATCGCGCAGGTTACGTTACGATTTGATTGATAAGGTGAGCGTAATGATTGTGCCCAGCGCAGAAAACAGAAGCAATAAATTCCGGCGCGTTGTAAGCCTCCCGATGGCGTTTATGATTTGTTTGATTGATTTGTGGTCGCCGTTACGTCCACGCTAACGCAATAACTAATAAACGTATTGTGTTTTTGTGTTTGCGCGAGAGCGCGCGCGCGCGTCTCATTCCCAGCTCGTTTGTAATTATATACAGATAGAAACACACTGCTACAGTTTTTGATAAATGTGACAAGACAACATGGTCACACTGCGAGCTCGGCGTTCGACGTTCGAACGTTCAGAGCTGGTCTTTCGACGTTAAATCTTTTTACAAGTGCAGCGCACGAATTATGTAATAATTACCGGCGATATTCTGATTATAAAACTGGAACCAGATCAACAACAACACTGACATCAACAATAATGGTAGTATACTAAATGGATTGTAAACCGTTTGTCGTCGGCGTATAAAATTCGGTTCTGGTGCGCGCGAGAGTCGGCGAGACATATCAATTAGTAATGTTCACAACAAATTCTCAATAGCGCGCAATCGAACCGGCCGAGCGCGTGCAGTTAAATTCAGAGTGGCAGTAGTAAATGCGTAGACGCTGGTCGACGGGCCGATGACGCAAGTGGCCACTTTACATAACGTGTCACAACACCTGGCCGCGCGAGGGATTCGCGAACACGGCCGCCGCGGAAAACAACTCGCTACACCAGACGGGCAGTGACAGAATTTTCGTTTATACCGAGAGTCGTGGGACGCCGGCGGGATGCACGCGCGCGTAAAGGATATTCGTAGAGTGGTGCATAGTCAGTCAGTAGACGCACGCTTAAATTTAGTACAGACAGACGTAAATAGTTTTTCGGTAAAAGGAGAGAAAAATAACGACCGGCCGTGCACGACTCATTCCTCAACGGAACGCGAGATGCATTTTCACGCACGGCGCGCTAGCTGAAATCGACCAGCCGAAAGGAAAGTTGCTATTGCTCCTACACGTGGCTGTGCGCTTGTGGGCAACCAGTGAAAAATATTGTCAGCTGTTTTACATCACGCATATTATTATTTATATCAATTCAAAATTTCAAAATGTGTGTCCTCACTCATAAAAAAATTAACGCATCATTATCGAACGATAAATATGTATCTCTGTGTGCGCTTCGTTAGTGGACGACTCGTTTATAGTCGATTATAAATTTGTTATGAAAATAAAGATATTTCTGTCAAAAAACGTAAACACCCACATCATATCTCGGAAACTCCTGCGCCGGCGAACTGTCGGCGGTCCTAATAGAAAAATATTTGTTTGCGTGCGAGAAGTCAGCGGTGTGTGTATGTTTTACTCAACACTTTCGGTGCGTGGAAAGAAGCACCGCGAGAAGATGAAAAAAATAATCCAAAACAAAACACAACACACACTTACACACTTCTAACGGCGGCAACGGTGGAACTTACCGACGATGCCACCGTTTTATAAATAAAGAGCACCAGTGAACACCAATTTCCGCCGCCAAATTAACGATAGACTTGATAATCATTAATCATTTTCGTATTTTTAAAACCGCCCGAAACACGCGCGCGTCTACCGGCGTAGTAGGTGCGCGACTGTTGCTCTCGCGATATGCCACTCCAGATTTATTCGCAAAACAGCAAAAGTGCGCTGTATCGATTTTGCGGGTTACGAGCGCTAGTGTACGATGGTGATGGCAGTTGCCGCCTCAAGGATCATCATCCTGTGTCAAGGTCGGCACGTGCAATTCCGGGGTTGTGCACCCCCGGCGGCGGCAGTGGTGGCGTTGGAGGCTCGTGCCTGCCAGGCCTAGTATCATCCGACCTTGACCCCGCCGTCGTGTTACTCCCGGCACGAACCTCATCGATCGATTTTCATGCTAATACGCAGTTTCCTGCGAAGGGCGACCGACTACCCCAACAACTGCCGCGCGCTCTTAGGTCGCTGCCCCAGCAACACACAAATTGTAAACAACAACATGCACAAAACGAAAACAAATTATCCACACACCTTGATATCTTGATATCCGCTTCGTGGGTTGTATCTGCAATCAAATAAGAAAGAGAAAAATTAAAATCAGTTACAGAAAAGATAGTTTTAGCACATTTCGAAGGTGCTAAGTCTTTCTAAATCTAAAAGTTCGATCACTAAGTGGAATGTACGCATGTCCGCGCCTCTTTGGTAAATACAAGTCCATTAATGCCCGCTTAGAGGCATGCTAATGAACGAAAACTTCAAACCTCAACAGCTCCTCAACACCAACGCGGCCAAACATGTGGGAGTTGTGAGTTTCACAGCCCGAGTGAGAATTCTAACTGCGTATTCTCTGACCAATGACCACCATCCGACCAAAAATGTAATTATCGCATTCGTTTCACTACAACGTTTTCTATGCGCGTAACATCAGCGCCCGCCCGATTTGATTACAATAGAAAACAGTAATTTGTAATGATTAAAACTGTATCAACATTATCTCGCGCGGCGCAAACACGTTCGTATATAATAATCGTCTTGCCAGTCTCGAAATCCTAGATCTCACCAGTGTAATCCATCAATAGTCATACTTGGGTACATTGTGCGTTGCGTTCGTTGCGTTTGCCTGTGTTGCTGTAACGCGAACGCATAGATGAATATATCTCGGCTTCCGAAATACGTGTCGGTTATTAATGGTCCGTAATGCGCGGTTACGAGATAGCGCCGAGGAGGTAAAACGTCGCCGACTCGCGCCCGCTCCGAGTGGCTAGCGAAACAATTTTATAATGACCGAGTGTGTGTCGCAATGTAATTACATATCGGCCGCCTATTTCAGCGTGCGCGACTTCGCGCATGCTGTGCATTCTTCACCGACTCCACAACAAACGCTGCTGCTGTGCATCGCTAGACGAAATTTATCGCCGGCTAGATGCTAGATCGCAAGCGAATGATAATATAGAGATCAATAAAAAATAATTACGCTGCTAATAGTTTTCACACACGCTTATTAACATTAAATTTCGGCTGCTGTTTTTTTTTTCTATCGCGACTGCTTCCTTGTTTCTTTTCATTTCGTTTCGCATTGATTCGACTATGATGCCGCCTCTCGATACGATTTTTTAACGAGATTTATTATTAACAACGTAATGGTTAAAAAGTAGCTAGCAAAATGAATGATCTAGTTCTGATCGCTTGGGTGTAATTTGTTTTGGTATAATATATCGAAGAATGATTAGCGCACTGGACGTTTATGTGTCGCATTAATAATTTAATATATTTCGTGAGTCGTTAATTAAGAACGCGGCTAGATAAACACACAACGGCAGTGAATACGAGTGGCAGGAGCGCAAAACAGGTAGTGTTTTATTATAATTTCGAAAGTTTATCGTCAACCGTAATTACGCTCAGCGTAAAAATTATTAAATCTGAGTTATGAGTGCGTGTGCGTATGAATCACGATTTTACTGTCAAACAAATCAAAATTAAATTCCCACGAATGAAAAAATCTAAATCCAAGCAACTAAAGATTTGATTAAAATTAAAATTTTTTGCAAATTTTCGAGTTAAAAACAATAACGAAACAAAAATTCATTTCTTGTTTGCAATGTCGGTTCGGCGATAAATTAAATGTTCACAGCGATAAGTTAGCATTTTACCAACAAGCGAACATAAATGATCGTAAACACTGAACATAATTTAACATCATATTTACATTCGAAAAAAAGTCTCAAATTGAATTATAATTGAATCTATTTCGGGTAAATTCAATCAGATGAATTTTTCGAACTTGTTGAGCTTGTTCAGCAAATTAGCAAATCGTGCAGCACATCCAAAAGTCTTCTCGTGCGCACCACTCAGCCGCAATCAAAGAAAGTCCGACACCATCTCATCAGAACGACGGAGCTTGAAATTAAATCGTAGTCACTACCTATCATTCACAATAATACACCGAAACCACTTGATATTTCACTTCTTTATTTCGTCTTCATTTTGAACATCAACATTATACGACCGACTCACGATTCCACACCAAGAGTTCAGAAATGGATTTGTTGCACTATAAATTTACGATAATTGTATATTATTAGCGTCTTGTTGATGTGGAAATATAAAATAAACAAATCTTTATCTTCTTTTTTCAATTTATTTAGATCTAACTAGATGTAAAAAAAACTTTTGTTTTTCTTTTGGTTTTAAGTGATAATTTCAAAAAGGGTTATTTGGTTGTTACACGCTGTATATTTAGCATTACCATTGATAAACCTTGGAACAACGTTATACAATTATAATCGCGCACGATTAATAACAAAAATCAAGATGTTCTCCGGAACGCATCTCACCTTCTACCTTCATCTCTCCTGCGCCATCATAGGCCGGCGATGTTTAATATCAAATATCATCTATCAACAACGACAACGATGACTTGTAGGCAATTAAACTAAGTGCCTCGTTCATAGAATCAACGAGCGAGTTACATGCGCGCGCGTTTTGTAGACGAAGGCGACGTGCGACGAGCATCAAGTGAAAAGAAGTGCTTTCACACTTTATTCGTGCACACACACTCACACATAGCTGCGAAATGTATTTATCTGTATAAACTCGGCGCATCAACAGATTTTTCTGCATTAGTTGGATTTACAGTTAGGCCGGGTGCGTAGGAAACGCACTTACTAATTATGAGTAAGTACTATACACAAATCTACAATCTATCCACTTTGGATGGTGTGTTGTAAAACTGTGAGTACATAATAAACGCCAAAATGACTAAAATAACATATTAGTTGTGAACGTAATCAGAAAGAATAAATTTTACTCAGAAATACAGCTATTGCGGCGCATATTCAAATCGTGACATTGGCAAAACGACATAATTGCCACTATTTAGACAAACCGACAATTAAGAAATCTATCGGGCCAGGGTCGTCGTAATTACCACACACATTTATTGACACTTTCTCACTTTTCTCACATTCTCACTGCGTACCAACAAAATATTTTCCACAAAGTTAGGCAAGCTGTACTAACCACCATTTTGATGCGTCGTCTTATTTTACTAACTTTTACGAGATAAGATTACCAACCAACAAGGGGGACAATCGATCATTATTATTTGCAAATACAGAAGTTCGGAACATGAAAGCAAACTTGTGTCGTGTTCAGAAAAATTTCGGCTGCGATTTGGGCGCGATTTTCACTTCACCACTAAATGTGTGTATATGTGTGTTGATCCAAGCGTCTAATCGAACCACTAGCGTGCGATGATAAGCAATCGCCATTCGGGGCGACATTCCCACATTGTTTTGATTCCGGCTCTCGCGCGCGCGCGCGCGATGCAAACAAAACAATGTGCCGCGCGCGCGAAGGAAGCGTGTGCGGTTTTCGGACTTAACTAGCTGAATTTATTGTGACTTGCAATCGTACTCACCTCGATAGTGATCACAACGCGGTTTCCAGCGCACACACACAACTTGCGTCTTCGGTTACACACGCGGTGAACATATGTCGCAAATTAAAACAGTTGTAGCAGTTGTAACAAATGTGGGTGGTGAAATTAATAAATAGTTTTCCCAGCTGATTTGTACCAGTCACATGTCTTAGAAAAAGAAGCGGAGACGATGTTGAGATGACGATTTCCTTGGAGTGGCAGGCAGGACACAAACACAAATCGCTAGTTTTTTGATTTCGGAAACTTCCGTCGTATAAAATAAAAAATAATAAAATGTTAGCGTTCTGCACGCGGATAATATCAAATCGTGAATCGCACGCAGCGTGCGAGCGCGTGTGTCGAGCCGGCGAGCGCACGCTTGCTACTAAACCACGTCGTGTCGCGGCCGATAGCTGGCCGTATCGCGGAGGTTGGCCGCCGCGTTGATTCGTTCTCAAGAGAGTCCCTCTGCCTGCCTACGTCCATCACCTCCATACGCCCCACCACCGACGATTTTTTTCCTTGCACACACACCGGCGCTTACTGTGAACACACTACGCTACCTTTTACAATGTACTACTCCACGTGAGGGTGCACACACGAGGGTTACCCTTTGCGCGTCAAATTGCGTACCCCGTATTGACGATAACCTGATTTTAATCACACGTGTTGAGCTTTACGAGGGGGACATTCCTTCGAATGCTTTCGCGATACGAAGAACAACGCTACCGGTTGTGAAAAGTTATTTTTATGCCATAGAAATCACGCGGCGAGTGTGCGAGAGTATTTATCACGCTCTAGAAGGGGCAGCCGGGGCTTGCGTGGAATTTTCTCATGATTTTCCTCAATGCGCAACCAGTGCCAAAACTCCTACTTCGCTGGTCATCGCGGACAGCATCTCTAGTGTATGTATTTTTTTCATTCGCCAAAATAGATGCGCCTACTTGCTTACGATTCGCTCAAAACTCACGCCAAACATTTACGTAATTGCAGATTAGTAACGAAAATACCTCATAATAGCAATTTGATCAGCGTCCAAACAACCGACTCCCACTTGCTGCGTTAACATCGTTACTCTACGAGTAGTAGGTAGCAATTTATTCGAAGTTTTCGGCCATTAGAACGCATGTGAACGCGTTTATAAGTCGGGTATTGTGAAATTAAAATAATGGATGTTATGAATTCAATGCCGATATCAATTTGACCTCTATATTGATAGAAACCGAGCGTTGGCTTGGCATTCATTAAAAGTCTATTGACTACTATAATGCGACATATTCAGATATTGCGCGGTTCACATAAGTATTCCAAACGACTCTCTTTGACTGTTCACGTTTGGTTATCAGATGATTTTATTTTTCTACATTCTGCGCTTTATTTATGAAGTTAATCGATTAGCGCTGCGATTGTATGCAGCTGTTCGAAAACAGCTCGAGGACACATTTAACTGATTTTGATTACCTATAAGCAAAAGAGAAATTTAATTGTTGTGGATTTGTCAGGGTAAAGGTAAGTATCTAAATTAAGTTGTTCCAAATTATAATCAAATATCTGATAAATATTAACATAATTATACGATTTCCCGGAATCACTTAGAGCTAGAAAGTTGAAAAATAGTGGCGCGAACTTTTACTCTCGACGGCCGTTAAAAAACGCATTTTCATCTGGGCTGCGCGCACGTGGATGTGGGGTGCGCTTGTTTTTTGCCTTTTATGCGCTCGTCTTACACTCCCGGCTATAAGATATTTGTGTGTACCGGCCCGTTCAAGAATAGGGCACGTGGATATACGGATGGCCCCTCTCCAAGGCAATCGCGTAATGTTATTGTGCGCGACTCTCATGTGTGCACCTTTGCCGAGACCTCTCTCCCTCGGCAGATAGCGAAAAACGTTACAAACCGAATTTTTGAGAAAGTCTAGCGTGACATACACACAAAGCGCCCGGCTCCCTCACGGCTCGTGCGGAACTTCTTCATCCACCCTCATAATGCACGCCAACGACGGATTTTCGACTGATTCCATTCAATCGTAATGCGTCTAGACGTTTAAACCTAATCCTCTTCGGGCCATTGTGCGAATTTATATTGACTGATTGATCGTTTGTTTGGAAATTAATTTTTAACGTTTGCTTGCATGTTAGAAAGATTGATTTTGTCATTCACTTAACCTTAATGTGCAATCCGTGCAATAAATTAACACTCGCGCGTACACACAACATGGAATTCACGCCGCTGGCCGCCGAGGATAATATTTAAAGATCCAGATTAATAAATATTCTTATCATTCGGCATGCGATCCGCGGCTGTCCGACGACGATTGAGCGTTGCGTGCGCGGCTGGCATGTCGTCATAAAGTCTTCTGGTTTTATTTTATCATCGTTCGTATTCACGGGAGCGTTATAAACGTAAGCAATCATCATCAATCGAACGCTGTGCTTCCAACTTCTGAATGCCTGCGCATTCGGACGGGTATGTGCGCACACGTAACTTGCAATGCGCCACGACGTTTCCAATCTAAGTGCTTCTTCGCAACGTTTTACGCGCAATAACGATTTATTTTATTGACTTATAACTCGTACTCGGCACTCGATTTAAAATTTACTTCGTTCTTCGTAATCTCATACTGGGTGCAACTGAATATCTACTACCTAACCTCAAAAACAAAACAAAATTAATTATTTCTTATAAATCGTATCTTTACTACGCTAGATGGCGCAAATTGATAATATTTAGTAGGTATTTCACCTCAACTTTAAACTACAATTAACTAATTTTTATCAAACACTTTATATAAAACAAGTCATAATTAATTACATATTGAAATATGTTTTGAAAGTAGCTCATCGATAAATAATTAATTAATAATTAATCGATTAGTAATTAATCAAGTGGCAAAACATAATTAAAACTTTTTCATGTCGGCAGACATCTCAATCCAAAAGATTGAATTTCAAAACAATGTACGTAATTAACACAGAACATAAAATTAATAACGGTACGTATTGTCATTGCCATTGTTCATTGCACAACAAACAACGAAGATTTCCACGCTTTGCATTCGATTATAACTCGAATAATTCGATCGCATCTTTCACGTTCCACATTCGTATCGAGCATTTAATTCAAAGCAAAACGTCCAACCCCACTCTTGCCTAATGCCGAGCATATCCAAACCGATATTTACGATTATGATCGTAACTTCACAGCGAGTCGTCGTTTTAATGAAGTCGAAAATGAAAAAAAACGCGCCGCGTCGTGCATACTTTAAGTTTAACAAACTTTTTTAGTATGCATAATCGCATTATCAACCTAGCCACAAGTATATTATTTATTACGCGGTTCTATTTCCAAACCAATGCTACCTTAATTAATATGCAAATACATTTTAATTGTGTTGTTGATTTTTGTTAATTTCAAATAGCAATCAAAACAAATCCGAATCTAACAATACAGATAAACCATCATTTAATTGGATGTTACAATGTGAATGAATGTTAATCAAACATTGTCTTCCTTCTGAATCTGAAGCATTAATCTGGACATCTACAGTTGTTACAACAGACCACCACCGGCACGTGTAGCATTGTGCTGGCAATTTCATCGCAGTTTGGCGCCTTTTCTAACGATGCGTGTGCCCTTTGTCAACAAACGCCACAAAACGTGGGCGAAACGCGTAAACATTTGTTAAACATTCGCTGCAATTTGAAGGCAAGAATCAACAAACAAGGGTGCTAAACGGCGCATTGACCAGCGGTCAATACCGATCGGATATATATCATTGACAATCGGTAGGAATATACATGCAACTGAAGGACGCCCAGCAGCGCGTTGCAAACACACAGATGGGGCTCGAACGTGCGATGAATAGAGCACACATAATGCACCAAGTTAAAAGATTATGCGTGCCTGTGTGTGCACGTATGTGTGCGTCTTGTATACGTCTCCACAGGGTGGAGATGGAGAGTTAGTTGCGCAAAGAAACTCGCCGAAGCATCGCAAACCGTCTTGCGGGCGAGCACCGCTTGCGCTTTTATCATCGCCAAAGAGGCGCGCACATATGATATCATGCGTGTTGTGTTGTGTTAGCTGCGGGCTGAATGCGATGTGCCATCGACGTCTTCAATGGCGCATTGCGAGACGCCGAGCGCTGCGGCTGTCTCGTGCGCATTGTTGGCTTCTTTTGAAATCGTACGATGTGTGGCACGCGCGCCGCATAAAGCCCGAGACGGTTTTTACACGAGACACACGCGCGCAAACATTGCTTCTATACAGCAGGTGAAACATTAAATGCCAAATTGATAGAAAATAGAAGCCAGGATAGAAAATACGGAATGCAGGCATTTTTACATGCTGACGTGCATAAAAGTTGCATAAACAACACAAAATACGTAAATAATTAAGAAATTTAAGTGTGACCCACACACAATACAAACATGACCACCTAAGTGATATTTTATTAATCAAACTAACCCTGTTATTAGGTATTTCCACTGTTTTACGCCTAAATAAATTTTCTTTTCATTCTATTGTCCGTTTACTCGTATTTCTGTAGACTTGGCTGTCCAATAAATTTTTCATCACTTATGGTCAACGATAACCATTATAATTATACGCGCCCAAGTCATTCCTACAAACTGTTTGTATTTGTAAGTTTTTTTTTTGTTCTGTCTGCGCAATGTCCGATACAGAAGCTTTCCACAACGCAAACGAATATGTAATGGCGTAATATATGCCGACAAGAAATTTTTCAATTCAATTTACGACTTGTAATATGGCGTGTTGTTAAAACCGCGGGGGGTGTTAATAGATTAATCAAGTCGCGACGCCAACACGTACACTCGGGACACGTGTATAAGAAAGAAAAAGAAATCGAATGCAATGGAATGCTATAACGCAACATTCGTATTGACGTCTGGTATTTGTGAAAAATATTAAACAAAAATATTGTTTTATTTTATTTTTCAACTGGAATATTAAGTCTGTTTGGTTCCAGTTGAATGGTTTGATCTGCAAGTCAAACGTCGTTAATTAAAATCGATTAACTTCCGATGCGAGTACGTTTCGGAATTTAATTGGCGACAGTTCGAAGCGCATCCGATCGGGTCACATGCAGGAAGGCAATAAAGCCTCTCTAACAACTGTACGAAACTGTAAGAAACTGTAAGAAGTCGCGACACAGAGAGATGTTCAATCTTTGATCGTTATCCAGTTCATAAAGAAGACGTTTAATGTTCACAGCGGTCGAAGATTTAATCTGCGTTCGGTCATTTGCATATTTAGATTTTTTCGCTTCCACTGCAAGAAAATCAAAATCGAAATGCAACCAACACACGATTCGCTTGCGTTAACCTGTTGATCACCGGCGCTTAAATTCACACACATCGTGCAGAGTCTATAACATAACATAGGGTTGTTTAAGCGCGTCGGAGGGTA